CTGACTTCTATTCTAAATCAAATATTGCAACATCTTCTGGATGTTTCTCCTCAGAGGATTCTGGATTCACGTGGAGCGCCACCATGAGCCCGGGGTTGGAAGGTTTTGGGTGGACTGAGCTCCTCGTGAAAATATTTCTACTACAGAAAGAAGAAAGATTCAGTTAAAAATGAAACCCAGCAGCATTTTTTTTCTCCTTAAACCATCTGTTACCTCCTGAACCGTCTGCGAGGAGATGCAGATGAATCAGAAGAAAAACAAACCACCAAACAGCTTCTTATTGCAGAACTTTCCTTACCCAATTTTCCTCAAACACTTTTATTTTGTGTCTTTTTTCGCATTGATAAAACTGGTCTGAACTTCTGATCCAGACTCTCCTCTCATCTGTTAAAGATTTGGATCAAGAGTTCAGGTTCTAAAGGTCTGTCTTCGTTTCTCTTTGGACTTTGCCTGCTTTTCCACTGAGTGCTGGTCCAGAACCAAACCATTTTCTGACCCAGGTTTTTTCCATCTGATCCGATCCAGAGCTTGAAGTCCTCTCTGAAAACAATCTGTTTTTTCTGAGAGGACTTTGAGGTCAGAGCCTGGTGGATGACCTGAGCAGACAGTTGACCTCCAAAGACACGTTGCTTCATCGCATTCAGGTGGTCTTCAGTGTTTTTCATATAACTGCAGGTGTTTGGTGGGTCCTTCTGAGTCAGAACTTCAGTCAGGTCTTTCGAGGTTAACAGACGGGGTGTGAAGCTGTGGGACACATAAAGTTTATTATTTACAATTATAAAAAAAAATATTTTATTATTGACATTGTTTATTCGTGATTTGACTCTTTAATGTGCAAAGCAGCGCCCCCTGCAGCGTGGATGCTGCAGTCAGTAAACAGAGCTCTGAAGCATCAGCGTCTTCACAGAGATACCAGGTTAGAGCTCATTCATAAATCAGACTTCTGTGGGAAAATGACAGGCAATCAATTGATCTTTTATTTATTCTTTATATTTTTGTCCACATTTTGTAAACAAAACAGTTCATTAAAAACTAAGTTTATTTTTATTTTCCGTTTTAAGCTGAATTTTCTTTTTCCACGTCCCTGCAGAAACTGAGAATCTGCAGGAAAACAGTTTGCAGCTTCATCGTCATCATGCAGTCAGACGCACACTTCACGTAATCTCTCGTCCCTCTTCTTCTGCTGATTAACATGAGAAACCAGAGCGCCTGGTCTTGGTGCCGTAACGAAGATCCCCCTGTGGATGGGTGCTGACAGAAACACAGTCATGTGATTCCTGACCCAGTCCTGGAGCAGGGGCATGAGGCGATGATGATGATGATGATGATGAGAGCATGCTCTGTTGTGTCAGAGAGCAACAGTTGAGGCTCAGCTTGGTTCTGCATCATGTTGTGGATCTGATCTGATTCATAGTGTACTGTGTTCTTCGTTTGTCTCCTGAAGCTATGTTGATGTGGAGATGTTTTCATTCTCATCTGCAGTCATTTTGGACCGACTATTTAACATGAAGCCTCCTTTCCATGTCAACACCCGATGTATTAATGTTGCCTCTCAAGCTGAGTTCCTGTAAAAGATGGGAAGGAGGTGAACGTTGCTGCAGAATAAACAGAGTTTTGTCCGACCCGACTCGTCAGAATGCTGAAATCAAGCGGACCTGAGACAGACTTCCACCAGTCTGAAGCCTGTGGGTCTCTAGTGTCCCTCTGAAGCTGGATTGTTCAGGTTGGACAGATACACATTTAAACTTTAACAGAATATTTATAATCTGTTGTAATATGAATTAGTCAGTGAGTAAAATGTGATGATAAGCAGTGGTTAAAGCTTTCATTTGGATGGTGTAAAGGAGAGATGTTTGCATCCTGCTGCATCATTAAAGCAGCAGAACTCTAAGCCTCCATAAAAACTGGAATTCAGATTTAAAGCAGAGGCAGGTCATCTATGTGATACTGAAGTTTGAGGGGTTCATGTAAAACGTTAATGTTCCTGAAGTTCGATCTTGCAGCCTGGTGATGGATTGTGTTGCTGCTTGTCTGTCTGTGGGAATCTTCTCTCAGGGAAATTTAACAGCTTCTTCTGGTGTCAGGTTGTGTTTGCATGGACTGTGCTCCTCTGCAGCAGGTGGTGGAGTCTGAGTGTGACGTTATTGTGAGTGATGATGAGGATGACAATGGTGATGATGATGTTTTTCCTGCTGCTGCCTACCTTTTCTTCTGATTCATGTTTGTTGGTCAGCTGACCTCAAGCGGACACAGCACTCATTACTCTTTGGAACATTTGCCTTGTACCTGAACTGAAGGAAACAGCGCCCTCTAGGGTCATTGCCCCCCACAATCAGATGTGTAAAAAGCCTTAACAAGAATAGTATATCTTTACGCCTTTTAAAATGAATGTAACCAACTGGAGACTGGCAAGCCCAGTTGCTCGGGATTTTTTTTATAGGCGGATCCATTCATTTCCAACTGAAATTAAAGCATTTTAATAAATAATACAGGACCAAAAGCTGATCCTTGAGGGACTCCTCACTATTGATTCGCTTGTAAGGCAGGTAAGGAGACTTAATAGATAACATGAAACATCCTTGCAAGGTCAGAAAGCAGAATGCCAACTTTCTTTTATTAAATTCAGGTAACACCAGGACCAGGAATTGATTTTCAGTTCACACATCAATCAGATCACTAGACCAGCCTTGTTTCATCTCTGTAATATTTCTAAGGACTGTTGTTTCCCTGAACAATGAAGAACAGTTCATTCATGCATCATCAATAGTAGACTCATTTACTGCAGTGCTGTTCTAGCTGGGAGCCCCAACAACTCATCATAAATACAGTTAGTTACTCCAACATGCAGCAGCAGCGTTCTGTTGGGTTCACCAAGGAGAAATCCCTCTTCCTCTGTTTGCTGCTCTTCACTGAATGCCTCTTCATCTCAGAATTCTACTGCTTACTTATGAAGCCCATAATGGCCCCACTCCATCTTATATAATTCAGCTCATTATTGCAAATCATCCCACAAGAACCCTTCACTCCCAGTACACAGGTCTGCTTGTAGCTTCAGAAGAACTCAGGTCTCTGAGGTTTTGGTCTACAGGCTCCTCTGTTCTGGAATCAGACCCTTTAGGTCCAGCCTAAACACCAACCTGTCTGAAAGGCCCTACATTTAAATTTACCAGCTGTAAGCAGCATTTAATAATTGGTTTATGTTGTCATATTGATCTGTTTTTATTTAATCTTAAATGTTTTTACCAGTTTTATCTTTTTTTACTGATTGTGTTTTTAATTTAAATGACAACAAATCCTAATTTTTATTCATACTGAGTCACAATTTTCAGCTGAATGTGCAAATCTTGTGTGAATATTGTGATTTAAACTCATTAAAATGTTTCTGTATTCAGTTACAAACAGCTAAAGCTCAGTCTTTTGTCTTTCATGGATGTTCTGTCTTTCTTCAGAGGATATTTCTGCAGCTGTTGTTCTCAGCTGTTTGTCATTGTTAGAGAACAGCAGTTAGTGTCCAGCAGCAAACACAGCCTCTTTCAGGTTGCCATGAAGATGACCTGCAGCGCTGCTCTTCATATATATAACTGTCTGTTTAGTGATTTATGGATTCAAAAGTCCATTTTTTTGGAGTAAATCTGAAGCATTCATTCAGATTGTTAGAGCTGCTGTTGTCTTGTTGAATGTTTGAGGCACAGAGTCTCATCAGATACATTAAAGGAAAACCACAGCAGGCTGGAAAACTGCAGAACTGCCTTTAATCACAGTCAGGAGATGGTTTCTCACCAAGACAAACACACTCAGGTGTTCTTCTACAGCACATTAGCTCTGTGAGCCTCGGTCTTCAGAGAGAGACCAAACCAATCCAAGCTCCAGACGTTTATTCTGAAGGTCTTATTTGTTCCAGTGAAGTTTTTTCCGTTTTTTCCTGCAGAGACTCATAGAGCTGGTTTTAGGAAATGAGGAGGATCCTGATTAGGAAGGATGACCAAATTCCCAAACTGATCCCCTTCATTACTGCCTTTGAGCAAGCAGGCCGGCTGTTTATTAAGCTGATGTGTATTTGGCAGAAACTCCATGAGTTTTTAAAGGATTTGTTTGCTTGTTCATGAGCCTTTTTGGTTGTTTATTATGGATTTATTAGCCTGGTGGACAGTTTGATTTATTTCGCAGGCAGTAATGAGTTGTGGACCAGCAGCGGAGTCAGGGCGCCTGGAGCAGGACTTGTAACAAGTCTCTGTGTGGTTCTACGTCCTGATGATGCACAAAGGAAGTTGGCCTTAAATCAATAGAGATGTTTTAATGGCTTCTCTCCTCCTTCTGCAGGTTTGAACAGAAAGGAAACAAACATGTCTGCTGCAGGTTTTCACTCCTCTCTTAACAAACATTCATCACCATTAGGGTCCAGATTAAAGGTTGGTTACAGATGTGGCATTGAATGCACCACAAAGTCTTGCCGACTTAAGGTGGACCTTGAACACACCATGAGGCCTGTGGTGCTCAGTTGGAGCTTTGCAAGAAGTTGTTCAATTAATTCATTAGAGGTTTTCACAGTGTCTTCTTTATGAACACTTTATTCTGATGAAGAAGCGGGACAGGAGCTCTAAACTTTAACTTCTTTTTCTAAGATGAAGCCAATGAAGGAACTGCTGCTGCCATTAACTCTTTACCTTTTCTCTAGCATAGAAAGTACTTCTGGATCAGTGCTTCTGTGTGTATCCTCACTGTTGTCTCAAACCCTTGGTTGGCTCTGGCATATGGACTCTCTCACTAAGCCTGGTTCTGGTTCTGCTGGAGGTGTCCTCCTGCTAGAGGGGAGTTTTTCTCTCCTCTCCTTTCTCTCCTGCTCACTATGAAGGATTGCTGCATGACTGAAAACTTTGCATCCATTTAAATGCCTATATATTTTGGTTTACATTGGAATTGTGTTGAGTTTTTGGACTGTGGGAGGAAGCTGGAGTACCCAGAGAGAACTCACACATGCACAGGGAGAACATGCAAGCTCCATGCAGAAAGACCCCCGGCTGGGAGTCGAACCCGGTACCTTCTTGATACAAGGCAACAGTGCTACCAACTGCACCACCATGCAGCCATTTAAATGAAATTAAATTCTTCATTAAAAAGTCCAAAATATCTCTTAGAAGCAAACCAAGCTGCACAGAAAACGGCAACCTTAAAAGGTCTGAACTAATATTTACTGTAGATGTATTCAGCTGTATTCACTCAAAGAAGGACTTCTTTACCTTTTTTGGTGAGGATGACTGAGAGAGGTCTGATGCAGATGGAGGGGACGGAGGAAGAGGAGCAGAGACAGACCGAAGAAGCAATGAGGATGAAGAAGAAATAAACAAACTGAACCAGGGGCCGATTAAGCCGAACCTGGAGGCAAACATGCTGACAGCAGCTCATCATGACCAGACAGAACATTGCTCCTGGAGGAGGATCAGCCCCTGATTGGACTGTAAAACATAAAAGACCTCACTCTGTAACTCCAATCAGAAGTAAGAATCATCTGGTAAGGAACATTTCTAAATGCATCTGGTGTTCAGCGGGAACGTGTGACTGAATGTTTGTTACTGTTAGTCCTCAACGAGCTGCTGCAGCTGATTGGCAGGAAACTTGGCCCCAACAACAGAACTGTCAGCTGGAACAATGGGAAGCATTTTTGAACTCCTTTAATGGACTCAGTGTGGAGAGCATGATGGCTGTTCCCATCAGCTGCTGCAGGAAAACAAAAGGAAGGATCTATGTAGACAAAGAAAGAACATGAGAAAAAGACAAGAAAGTAGGAAGGCAGATTATCAGAAACAGGAGTCAGTGTTTTTGGAGCAGCTCTAAGAAATCAGCAGAAGGAACTGGATCTCAGATCCAGAAAAGCCAGTCTGGAACCATGATCCAAACAGAAGAAAATAAAGTAGATGGGAAGCAGTCAAGGAATGTGGATGACTGGATGAAAGTGTGATTCAGGAATGAATCGTGAATCTGCACTGGCCAAGAAGATGATGCTGGTACTGTCCCAATGATTGAAGCCCAGTCTCCATTTGCTTCATCACTGGTGGCTTCACATTGCAGAGCATCATGGTCTGTTTCAGTCCTTAACTTTACATCATCTGAGCAGAAGGGAGGTCTCCTTCCTAGATGAAACCTTGGAGCTACTCTTAAATCCTTAGCATTCGAGTTCCTCCAAGGCCGACTGTATCCACAGGCTTATAATAATAATAATAATAATAATAGTTTATTTGTATAGCACCTCAAATGCAAAGTGCTAATAAAAGATACAAAAAAATTAACAACCATAATTAAATAAAATGTAAAATTCAGCCAGTCATTTTCTACCATTTATTCCATAGTGGAATAACCCTGTGGTACTCCACAATTAAGCCTGGAGTTCAAAGATGATTTATCATTTACATGAACAAACTGGAATCTGTCAGACAAATTTAAATCTAAATTGCTGTGTAAATGCTCACACATTTGATTAGCAACTATTTTCTCAAGAATTTTAGATAAGAATGGAAGATTGGATATAGGTCTGTAATTTTTCAAGTCATCTCGATCAAGCGAAGGTTTCTTAAGT